TAGCGCCAGTAAAATACTGAAATGACCCATTAAAATCAGGATTTACTTGAATTTTGGCATGTGTTATCTTCAAACAGGGTTTCTAAACGTTAGACCAAGATTAATATGAATCTGTAGTGCCGTAAACTTCCTGGCGTCTCCCCATTTTTGAAGTCTTGTCTTCACATAAACGATAGCAGACCACCCAGGGTGAAAATGCAATTATTAACAACTATTAATGTTGAATGTGGCAGAAATACGGTTTTCTTGGTAACGACACTATACTTCTGATACTGCTGGAAACTTGTCTGATGGCTCATTAAGTACGCCAAACTGATAACCATTTGATACTGTAAGGTTTACTATCAAAGTGTTGCAATGAATGCTTGATGGAAGTTAAAACTACCACAGCTATCTGACCATCCAACCACGGTCGCTAATACAAAAACAGCAGGCGTCCGATGACGGGGGAGGTAGACTGCAAGATACGCTTAACTTTTTAACACTTTCATTTTCTCTCTACAGTTTTGCAGATTAATCAGTTTTTTGTTCAAGTGATGGTTTTACTTTAAGTGTTACTCAATAATCTTGGCTGATATTTGAGCACGCGATGCAAGTTCAAGCGACAGATGGACAGGGAACAGCACAGCAACAAATGGCCGCAGGAAATGAAAGCCTTTAAAAATACAAAGTCCTGGTTGAAGATCAATGAGATTCTTCATCAAAGCCGGGTATGCCAGCGACTTAAGATACGATTACAAGTCGACATAAAGGTATAGCTCAGCGCGAGAAAATCGCATGCAGAAATGATTTGTACCTTGCGACTCAGTACAGATCTTGCACAGATAAAGTCTACGCTGCCTGCTCTTTGATTCAACGCAACATAAAAGACCACTAAAAATGAACAATTTACATTGATTGCAAGATCTTGCAGAACCCCTGATATTCATAACGCCTTTGTATCTGACACTATTCTTCAAACGGTTTGATACGAGTATCCCATGTGCAGGGCCTTCACACCAACTAGTTGTACTATAGGCAAACCCCTTACCCTTTGCCAAAAAAAGACTTAGTACACTAAACTCCGCTTCAATATGCACAGTTTATGAAATGCAACAAAACTGAAAATAACTTTACACAATTTAGATGATCCTGCTGCGTGGAGCACACTCCGTTGAAGCTCTGCCGTCTTCGCGACAAACAGCTGTTTTGCACCTTACCCGTGAATATATTCAATCATTTCCTTGGCTACTCACGTCATTTTATTTGTTCCAATTCTTGAGTGGATTGGGGTACAAGTCCCTTTTGCGTGTAGACAGCTAATTAGATGAATTGATGGCTTAGGACTCAGCTATGTAGTAACAAGACGAAGCTAGTTCTTGGGATTCTAAACCATCGCATGAAGCAGATGGTGAAGAAGGAATTTAGTCGCATTTGGTGAAGAAGTGGGCTGTCCAGCTGTGAAGTGACTGCGAGTTTGGTTACTGTTGGCTCACTG